TTAATATTATAAATTTTATAGTAAAATATTGCTTTGAAATTCTCATATTATTTTTATGATGTAATTTTTCTTTCGTTCATTTTGTAACAATTTTTTATTTTAATAAAGATTTTTTTTTTATACAACTATATTTCTATATTATTATTTTTTATATTTATAAATAAAAAATTATACATGTATAATAAAAATTATTAATTTTTATTTGATAAAGTTTAAATGAAATTTGATAAAGGCAAAATAATAAAAATTTTTAGATCAATTTCATGTGCTCATTAAAAAGAAAAAATCGTTTAAAAATTAATTTAATTACATTAAAAATTAGGTTATGATTTTTTTTTTCAGTGTAATAATAAGGGAAAATACAGCACAATAACTTTAAATGTCTCTTTTGTAAACTAAAAAATTTAATATAAATTGTAATATAAAGTGTATAAATATAAAATCTTGAACGTATTTGATAATTAGAGAAGAGAAAATTTTTTTGAAATATTTTCCAGTTTGACATTAGTTTGATTTAGCGACATTATTAAACTAATTGATATTATTAATATCGATTTATCTGGACAAAAATGTATTAAGTGAAAATTTATAATGTTTATAAGGAAATGAAGAAGAGTTACTTATGGTTTGTTACCCGCGTCTATGATTCCTTAAGTAAGTTTTTAGAAATGCGGTGCAACATTATTTGCTGCTATAAATTTGGAATAAATTTGTGTGCGCTTAACATTAGTATAAGATTCTTTGTTGATTGCGTATTTTACCGTTTACCTAAGAAAATATAGCGGCAATAATAAGATTTTTCTTATTCTCATTGATATTTTTAAATAAAATTATAGCTGTGTGTTAATGTAACTTTTTTCTATTATAAATGCTTTTTTAATCTTTATTCTTAGTTTTTTGTTCTCATCCGAGAAGTATGCAACCAAAAGTAATTATCATTTAAAATATATATGTAGCTATGTGGCAAAATTTGCAGTGTCGAAATGTTAAATAAACACTATTTATGCGTAATGGGCTGCATACAAAATTTTTTTAGTTCTTCGACATCTACAAAATATTTTCGTTTAAGTAGTTTGTCTCTATATTTTTGATATATACATTAATTCTTCCGCCAATTTCATAAATTTTCTTTTTAATTTGATATTATTTAAATTTCTAGCATTTGTCGAAGCTGTATTGGATGAAACCTAAAATTATCTGTTGCGTTGCGGTTATTATTGCCATATTAAGCATTTATACATTAGATATTATAGAAAAGTTGGAAATCTTGAATATTATTCAAATATGTATTTGATTTATATTTACGACATTGAGTTTTATTTTGAATTTTCTAAATTAATAAAAAAATAAATAAAATTTTAAAATAAAAAATTAAGTTTTCAAAATATGTCAAGACTTTTAGGAAATTGTAATATTATATTAGAATAATAAATAAAATCTTTTTAATGCATTAAACTACTGCAATTTCAATAATTTAAGCACAAATTTAACGTTAGCCCATTGACGGAGAACATTTTGCAATATGCAAATAATTAAAATTGGCAAATAAAGGTATTCTAATCGAAATAAAGTGTCATAATGAAAATTAATTTAATTATATAATAGTTTATTAATTTTAATAAATAGTCAATAATATTAAAAGTTTTCTTCCCATATTGTTTTTCTCTTTTCAAAATAGAAAATCCTTTTTGGTCCTATATAAGTATGTATATATGTATGTTAATGTACAAATAATTATTCATTTATATCATTGTTAATATTTTTATACACAATATATAATATGAAAAAAAGAATAATCGGCTTTATTACATTTGGCTATTGGATTTGTTCTATAAACATTCAAGTTTTTCATTTTTTTTTGGTTTTTTATTGGAAAGCCAGGATACGTACTTTAATGAGCAAATATTTTTTATTATTATTATTATTATTTTTTATATTAAATTTTGATTATATTTAGGCGCATTATTGTGTAATTTTATTTTAAAGGTACTTTTTATTAGATTTTTTCTTAAATGATATTTTAATATTAGTTTTTCCTCTTATTTGATTTTTTCTTGTTGTCGTGTTAAAGATTTTTAATATTCTTAAATAAATTTCATGAATTTAGAAAAATATAATTTTGAAGAAAAAATTTTTTTTTTTATTTTTGCGAGAAATTTATTTTAGATTTGTTTTTTTTTTTTGGGTTTTTTTTATAATTTTTTTTATATAATTTTTTTTATATTTTAGTTTTTATTATATTTGAATTATTTATTAGAAATTTATGAAATAAAAAAAATGTGGTTTCTTATAAAATTTTTTAAATTTAATAATTTTTTCTTTTTATTTAAAAATTTTTTTGGTTTTTGTTTTTTTTTTTGGTTTTAAATTTTTGAATTTAATTTTTGTTTTTTTCTCTTTTTTTTTTTTGTGTGTGTTTAGTTTAATTACAATTATTTTAATAAATTTAGAAAAGAAAAATTAAAAAAAAAAAAATTTATATTTTGTTTTATTTCCTTTAAATTTTAATATAAACTTGATTTCCTATTATACGAGCTTGTATATAGGAAAGTATATAGAAACTTGAAATTTTGTTTCTAAGAGTTTTGAATTTAAGTAAATTTTGAATAAAATTTGTGTGCCACAAATATTTTTTTTACATAATAAGGAAGAAAACTATATATGTATGTATGTAATATATATAAAATATATAAAAAACTGTTATAAAATATTCGGCAGTGATATTATACTTTTACATAATATAGTTGAAATAAATTTTATTGTGTATAATTTTGTTAAACTTACATAATATTAAAAATTATGTCACAAATTCTAAAAAAGATTTTTGGAAAACCTTTTAGCTTTTAAAGTTAATTTTAAATTATTATTCATTATATGTATGTGTATAGGTGTAAAAATATTGCGTTGCTATTAAAATATTGTACTTGTACTTTATAGTGCGCAATATATGAGTGAATGGTAATTTATAAGGTATGGAAATTTGTTTTGATGCGTTTTGCAGTTTAATTTGGGTATTTACAGGGTGATTCAGCAACAAGTTTGGAGCTTGGAACAAGGGGTAAAATTTTTGGTTGCAACATAGTATTAAATCGAAATCGTTTCAGAGCTACACGGGTTTTAAGAAAATTTGGCGAAATTTTAACATATTTAAGCATTGTTGCTTATAATTTATGTTCTAAAAAAAGATAAAAACGTTAAACAAACAATTTTTGTAAAGACTAACGCAGAGAGCACAAAAACAGCATATTAAATTATTTGGAAACAAGCATTCGAACTTGATGTAAAATCCAATTTTTCTCATTTTTTATTTTTTCCTTTTTTTTTGTCTCGACAATTTCTCATAAAATTTTTGAAACTTTATTAAACTAAAACATTAAACGTGAAAAAATCTTTTATATCTAACAGCAAAAATCTCATTTGAATTTAAAGATTTTAAAGGGTCTTTAAAGTCTCGACATACAAACAACTTTGTTACAAAAACTTTTTACTCATTTTCGACTTTCTATCCAATGTTATATGACTCTTAAATTGTTGCTGGTCTCTTAACTTGTTACTTAACTTGTTGCTCTTACATCTTATAAGTGCTTTCTTCAATTTAAAATTTATAAGCAGATTTTGTTCAAATAATAAAATTCCAAATCGTAAAATAAAAAATATTTCGACAAACTCCTTTTTTGGCTATTATTGCAGTTAAAATAAGTTTTTCACAAAATGTTGAAGCAGTTGTTTTACAAAGGACTGCAATAGTTGTACATATTCATACAATTTAAAGACGTTATCAAAAGCTTTTCTATAGTATGTCGGATATAATATGTATAATGAAAACAGCGCTATATTTATGTTCATAAACAAATGTTGCTAATTTTGTTTGTTTATAAACATTGTTAAACTATTAACAAATAGTGTAAAATCGTTAAGAGCATCATACTTGAATCATATGAACTGTTTTAATTTTACATATTAGTTTAAAACATATTGTATGTCTTATAAGTAGATTCGTTCATAATTGCGATAATCCTTGTAGTGCGGTAGAAACGCTAAATATAGATTAAAACCTTTATGAAAAATTTTTTTTTTGATTTTTCATTATTTTTTTATTTCCATAAAATGATGACATTTCTTTATTTTTTAATTGAATCTGGGATATAAGTCAAAATGTAGTGCTAAAAATTAACAACTTTGCAAGATGATCATTGTACATGAAAGTTCGTTTATGTAAATTAAAATCAAATTTAATTGAAATTTTTACTACAATATTTTTATGAAAGATTACAGTTTTATTTCTTTAGTAATCTGCATTAAAAAGGTCAAGTACATAATAAACAAAGTTTAATGCACATAAGTAGAGTATTTCAACTTACTGACGAAACAATTAAATTTTCAATTAACGATTTTCTTCTGGCGCATTTCAAATTTTAATGTCAAAAATATAAAATTAAAATGTAACATAAGACTGAAAGGGATTTATAAAATTTATATTAATTCGTCCAAATTTTGATTGTTCATTGCCTTTCATATAAAAAAATCCAAAATTATAAAAATGCAAACCCTTAACTGAGTATCGTAAAATATATCGCAAAAAAAAAAAAATATTTAAAAATAATGTGTTTTTTTTTACATTTAAATGTTTATTGATGATGGTACACATGACATTTCATATCTCTGTCAGACAGAAAAAAAAAATGTGTCATAAATATGTCAATCAAAAATGCAGTAAATTTATGATGCAAGGACATTACTCTATTCTGCTTCTTTCTGAACTGTACATGCTATTTTAAATCTCTTACTTTTATCTTTTATCTTTTATAATATTATTTAGTTTTATGTCATAATTTTGGGAATATAAAATTTATATAATAAAAAGAATATTTGGGATTTTAAAATACCATGATAAAAAAAAGATAAAAGAATTTTGATGCATATGTGAAAAAATAGTATGTTTTATGAAACTGTGAAAGACCTTAAGCTCTAAATATTTAAAAAAGTGTTAAAATATGAAATATAAAATGAAAAATAAAGTCAGTGACTAAATCCAAGTTATTTAATGTATTAAATAAGAGTGGTTATTAAATAACAGTGGTTATTTAATAACAGTTTTTGTCAGTCAAATTTATTTTTGAATTAAAAAACGGTTTGAAGTAATGGTTAAAATTCGAATTGAATTCGAAAATTATTTTAACAACAGAAATAACCAAATCATTGCAACACTACTGCAAAGAGATGTATATTATGAATTATCATTTAAATGAAAGCACCGAATCCATAGTGGTCTTTATAATGACAAAGGTCGCAAAAAACCCTTCTACCTCAAATTCGAGGACCATAATTAAAATTTTTTGCTGAACAATAATGAATGATCTAGAAATCTCTTTGGAGAACAAGTAATATGTTTGATTTATTTGCAACATGAAAATCTGCGACTGTATAAAAGTTAAAATTGTACAGTTTTCTAAAAGTGCCCTCTAAAATTATTAGGAAAAACATTTTGTTTTTAAAAATTGTAAAATACTAAAAAATTTTGCATGAACAGGATCGTTTTGGAAATTTTAATTAAAAGAAAATTTAAAACTAGCTCATATAATGTTCGGGGCTTTTATTATAATAAGGAATCATTTCAAAACCAAAAATAAAGAAAATTAAATTATAACTACAAAAGAAAATGTTTTAATTATTATTTGGGTAAGTTCATTTTTCATCTTCAGCAGCTTCCAATTTTTTCATTCCAGTTACAAGTTTCAAACTTTTTACATTGTTTTGCTGTAAAATTTTTTCCTTTCAAATTCTATCTTACAACGCTTTTTTTTAAAGATTAAAACATCTTTCACCCATAGAAGGTCATCTTTAAGAACTTCTGATAATATAGTTCAAAAGTACATAATTATAATTCTGTTGTGGTTTACTATGATTGAAGAAAATTGTAAATTAAAAATGCACTGAATTTTACAATTAACAATAATACGCTGACATTTGACACCCATATTCTGTCAGGTGCATCATTTGAGGTTATTCATTTTAATTATAGCAAATGCTATTGGTTTGGTGAAAGCTTGAGATAGCTGCAGTTGCTCTTATCTAGACCGAAACCATCCAAATTATATGAATTTATTTAAAAATAATTAATTTGTTATTATTAATAAAATATTTAATATGGAATTAAAATGTTAATTATACTTAAATTCAAAACTCTTTATTGATTGGTGAAAGTTTTTTTAAAATTGCAGTCATTTTCAAGTTTAATTTAATTTTTAATAAATTTTTGGTTTCGTACAATTATTTTTTATGTTGTTATAAATTACATAAATTTTAAATTTGGTTTTGCTGCTGTTGTTCTTGTTTTCCTACACAAATTCAAAAATTTATTTATTTTTTAAGGTAATGTGCCGAACGAGCTTCCTTTACTTTGGTATTTTGTATAGTATATAATTATATATATATATATATGTATATATATATTTTTTTTTTAATTTTTATTAACTATTTATGTATTAGGTTTTTTTTTAATATGTATATATAATTTTTTTTCTTTGAAAATATTTTATTATTTTATTTGTGTTATTTTATTTAATTAAATTTTTTTTGTCTACTTTACCTTGTTTTCATATATTATATTTTTTTTTTGTTTCTAATTATAAATTATACTTATAACACAGTTTTGGCAATGTAAGGTTTAGCTGTTGTAGTCGCAATTTCAGATAATTTTATATCAATTGGTACTCTGGTGTCGTATAATGTTGGAGCTTGTAATATTATTCCAGCTGTTCCAACAACTACAGCAATTGTAAATATCCATAAGAATAGACGATCTAATACCATTGCTACATATTTCCAATCTTCTTTAACCTACATTATATAAAAAAACAAAAACAAAGATATAAAATTTTTCATAGTGATCTTGTAATTTTAGATTATGTGGGAAACTTATTTTGTTCAATTTGTAAAGTTCAATGTTTTTGAAGAGGCAAAGAGATTTTTGTTAACTCTATATAAAAAAATGGAAACGATTAGGCCGAAATATATTTAGGGTATTGAAGTTGGCATTAATATTTTTATCATCCATAACTCGCCTTTCAATTAACGTACTTTAAATGGAATTAAAGTTAAAGCCTTTGAACCAGAACAAAGAAAAGATACTTTTTGTAACGCTTATAAAATATTGATTGAAAATTTTTTATTTGCCGTGAAAAAATGACAAAACAAAAGAATATTTCATTGGTTTTCCTTAAGTTGAATTCTGTTCACGGAATTATTGAAACTTGGGGAATATGCAAATCTAAAGATTTTTATTTTTTTATAGTTTTCTCGGTAGGATCGCAGCATTTATAGCACTTTCCAAGTTAACTCGAAGGATCTTTTGTGATTCTAATCCCCATTTACATGAGATCTGGGCTATAACAAACTGCTGTGTCATAGGCAAGTCAGGTTATGAAAGCAACGAAGAGGATACAAAGACCTCGTAAGGAAGCATCTCAATAATATAAGCGTGAGACTGCCTCAAAAGAAGCTCCGATATTCTGCTCTTTGCCAAATAACGCAGACAAAATATCGTCGGTTAAAAAGCAGAAAGCATTAAATCAGAAAACTGTGTTTTGAGTAAATTCAATTTGAAAAAATCGTAAAATTGTAAAACTAATCAATTAGTGCAATGGGATTGATCTCTTTAATTTCTGGATTTATAAAATACATTCTGGATTTGCATGATTTTTTGCCACAACAAAGATTATATTATTCTGATTTAATTCATCTATGAAATCCGAATTCTGAAAAAATGCACTTAGTGCGTTCTGCTTTTTAACCGACGATATGTTTTTGACGATTCGAGACTATAGCAAAATATCACCTTTTCGTTCATCTCATGAATTTTTATAAGATATTTTGTACATATATATTTTTTGAATATAATAGCTTTGGGAACATTTAAAAATCTATTTCTTTTAAGAAATTATGTGTCTTTGGTTTCATCTGAATAAACTGCCTTATTTCGCTTAGATTCCAGATCCATCTTCTTGTTAAAAAAGCATGGGTAGAGGATGAAACAAATTTTATGATAAAATATTCCACAAAGTCATCTCTTGAAACATTTTAGTTTAGATCCACACTATTTTAAAATATAATAAATGTATATAAAATACACACTTTTAACATACACATATATACTTAAAAAGAGAATGATGTAAAGAAACAAAATGCTCCATATATAGAGAAGAAAAGTAGAAAGAGAAGGAGAATGCTTTTCTGTTTTTTTAGCTTTTCGTTCAATTTTCATTGCTGTGTTTATGTAAGTATATGTATGAATTTTAATAGATTTTTATATTATTACTTCGGACCAGAAAACTTGAAAAATGGTTTCCTTAATAATAATGAAATCATAAAATAAAGTATAATAAAAATGTGGAAATTTAATGATGCTTACTTTCAATGTGTGCATATTATATAGTAACCGTTATTTAATATGGTGTTGCTAGTTATCCGAAATGCATTAACGTCAGATTTTTTTTTCTTTAAAGCTATTGCATTTCCTTTTCTCTTTGTTTGATTTTTAGATCATGAATTATAAAATTTTATTTTTATTTGATGATATTAAATTTTTGCTTTTACAAATATTTGGTAACATTTAACAGTTTTAGTGGTAAAATAAACAAAACGTTTCCTTTGTTCATAAAAAGTTGAGCGATAACTATGGCTCTTATTATAGAGATTAATTTTTATAGAAATCAAATTATTTTTTAATAGAGTTCCGGTTGATATAAAATGCATATAAATATGAAATTAAATTCATTATAAAATCATATTGTTGTTGGATACATAGAACGCGTATTTCACATAATATGTTTGATCATTCATATTTGATCAAATATTTAAATTTTCTTCATTTGATTCGAGTTCCGAGAAATTTATTTTATTATAGGTTTTTGTTATTTGATTAAAGATAATAAAAATATTTTAAGATTTTCTGAAATATGTGCAACGAATCGATTTCGTTATAATTTTCACATTAATAACATTGTGCTGTTTAAGATGATTTTTTCCAGTTTGTTTCTGTGTGATCCTTCCTATCGGAAGAAAGAATTTTGTGTTAAAAACGACAACAACAAATGGTAAAAAATTTCAGTTACGACGATATGACGGAAACAGCATTAAAATGAAGGTGCATATCTGATTACTGCTATTAGAATATTCAGAACAATTCTATAGGTACACACGAAGTTATTGTGTTACATTGACTATCCACGTTAAATTATGCTTATATAGGACTGTTCCATTTCTTACAACATACATAAAAATTATCAATAGATGTATAACCTACAAAATGCGTGCCTTTGTGAAAAATATTTTATTGGAAGAAAGAGTGAATGGCAAATAAAAATGTACATTTAATTTTGAGCAATAATCAATTTAGTGCTCTTTATACCCGTACGAACGTATGTTCGAAGAGTATACTAAATTTGCCTTACCGTTTGTAACGCTAAGAAATAACGGTCTTAGATATAGACTCAAGTGTCAAATTCTGAGTTAAATTAGCTTTGTCCGTCCGTCCGTCCGTCCGTCCCAACTCAAAAACTAATTGAGCTAAGTTCATAAAATTTTCAAAAATGGTTTATTGTAGTAAGTGCCACAACCCTATTTAAATTGGACATGATCGGGGCACCGGTTCGGATAGCTGCCATACAACTTCAAAATTTATTTGGCTATATCTCAGAAACTATAAAAGTTGTGGTATTGAAATTTCACACAAGCGAATATATTAGTAAGGCCAATGTGTCTTATAAAAGTAGTTGAAATTACTTGACTCCTTCTGGTACCTGCCATACAACTTCAAAAGTTATTTGACTATATTTCAGAAACTATAGAAGCTATGGTATTGAAATTTCACACAAGCGAATATATAAGTAGGGCCGATGTGCTTTATAAAATTTGTTAAAATTTCTTGGCTCTTTCTGGTAGCTGCCATACAACTTCAACAGTAATTTGGCACACACAGTATTTTGAAAAACACAGCACTGAAATTTTTCATAAAATAATATGGTAATACGGCAATTAAAGTCATAGTCTGTTCCATAGTCATTAATGGCATCTTTATTCGCACATAGGATAACAAATTCGTACGGGTATCACAGAGTTGACAAGGTCAACTCTATTTTTTTTCTCGTTTTTGGTTGTTATTGACATCAATACTGTTGAAGCAGTTTTGCTTAATTGAGAATAAGAAGTAACAGGTTACAATTTTGTGTTTGAATAAAGAGGAAATTCTAACTGATTGAAAAATATTTTGTTTGAATATTGAGGGGAAACTTTTATTGGGTAAAAAAGTGCTTAAATATTTAATTAATTACAATTTAATGGATTTAAGTAGTCGTTACGTATTTCATTTCACTCAGTTTTGCATTAGTTATAAAGGTATCAATGCTTCTATATACAAAATATTCTTGAAAATCTGAAAACAGATGTCATACTATCTGTGCAGTACTTTTGGAAAGTGCCACTTATTCTAACTAATGCAATGGTGGCCTGCTGGACTGCTATTTTCAATTTTAAAAGGGAGTCAACATTTTGATTTTGAGAGAATCGTCGTAGTCCTACAGTAAGTTGATTGTACATATTGTTCTTTGTAAGAGAACAGCAGCTCTTTTGATCTAAAATTCGCACGTTTTCTTTAAGTTCGGAAAGGACAACAATTTAAGTTCAAAATAAATATATATATTTTTATATTATTGACACCCTTAGAACAATTATATTAGTCATTTTCCTCTTTTCCTATTGTTCAAAAAATTTAAAATTGCTATAGCTGCCTATAAAGCTTTTCTTTTATTTAAAATTTTTGCTTTTGACAGGATAACATCAATTTGTTTAAAGCGTAATTTTATCCTTCCGATACTTTCAAGTGTTTACAATAGATGATAAAATTTTTTTCACAAAAACATTGTATTTCAAGAGAAATAAATAATTATTTTTAATAATAAGAAGGTGTGTATTGTATGTGTGTGTGTAGAAGCAAAAAAAAAAATGAAAATTTAAATTTTATTCAGCAATCATTATGTTTGTATAATAATGGAAAAAAAATTCACCTTTAAAATAATGAGAATGTAAATGGGCCATAATTAAATATTTTAATAGGATTTCGTTTATTAAAACAATGTATACGATATTCCTACTTCCTTTTTATTGTTATTTTGTACTTTATTTTAATTGAAAAGTTCTTGTTGGTTTTTCTTTTCTTTTTTCTATTTTTACTATTTTAACTACACACAAATTTTAAAAATTCCTACAATTTCAAGGATGTTCTTTTTGAAAATTCTTTAACATGAATAAAAAATTAAATTTGTTCTGTGTATGTACATTGTACTTTGTTCATAAAAGAGAGAACAAAAGGAAATTAATTCTCTAGACAAAAACGTCAGATGTTGCGACCATGTTGGTATACATTGAAAAATCTATCAGTTTTTTTTGTTTCTTTTTTTTTTATAATTAATGGAGTTAATGTACAAGGTGTGATAATCAGTTTTCTCGTTATTTATTTTAAGAAAGGTGTTTTTTGAATTAATGTTTGTTCATCAAATGTTATAAATCGGTGATAAGTTATGCAATTTGCGTTCAAATGTAAATACTTTCAGGGAAAATGTTTTTCATATTATTTTTACATTAACAAATAATGCCTTTTTTTGTGAATTTTTATAAAAACAGATGTAAATTGCCCCATTAATTTCGATGTGATTTTTGGAAAGCTCGAAAAATATTATTTTAGAATTTCAAATCTTATAGAGTGTAAATAATTATTAATTCGTTCGACATTTTAACATATAAGTTGTAAAGTTCGACATTTTAACATATAAGTATTCTTCTATCATAGAACAGGTTGTGCAGAAATTTACAATAAAATGTTGCAGATTTTTTTAGAATTATTTCACACTAGAAAAACAAGAAAACGGCTAATATAATTATTTCTACATTACATAAAGTACTTTAAGTCAGACTTTCAACATTTCGGTGCTAAAAATTCATTTTAAATGTGTGATTCAAAATGTCGTTTACAAATAGTCGCTTTACTATATCCCGTTTGTAAGGGCACGCATAATTTCTACTAAGTAAGACTATACGCAAAAGTACAATCGTTTGACAAACGAGAAATTTTATTAACGACATTAATAAATAAAAAAATCTGATGTGGTCAGCACATAACCGACCGCATTGTGTATTGTCTAGTTAAATGAAAGTGTTACAGAATATTATAAAAATGTCTGTTAAATATTTCTTTCCAATTTTTAGGACATTAGTAAGCTTATAGTTAACATACTTAGAAAAATGTAAATTTGGCTCTTAGTAAAGTTTCGCTTTGTGCTACCCGAATTCCCTGAAATGCTCGCTAGTTAGTTTCGGTAACAACCAGAACTCAAATATCAAATTTCAAGAAATTCCATCAATTTGTTCTGTGAATATGGTGAAAAATGTAAAATCGGCCCGCAAATCAGTTTTCGAGCCCTGATCTTTCCAAAAACTTTATATGTTCATTGTTTTAATACGAGGAATTCATATATTAAATTTCAATGAAATCGGTTGATTATTTCTCTTTATATACACAAAAATGTATATTTGGCCCGTAGTAAACGTCTAGTTGCCGATGCCTGATTTCTTCCAAAACATAGAAATTTTCGTGGACGGTCGAGCTGAGCTTATATATAAAATTTCAAGTAAATCGGTTGAATATTTTCTTTAAAATGTTCAAAAATGTAAAACAGGCCCGCTAAAAAGTGCAGTTCCCGAGGCCTGATATATACCAAAAGTTGATCGATCCGTGCCATGGTAGAAATAAACTTACATATAAAATTTCATCAAAATCGGTTCAGCCGATCTTGAGATACACGCGTGCACACACAGACCGACAGACCGACAGACCGACAGACCGACAGACGGACAGACGGACAGACCGACAGGTTGCTAAAAATAGTCTACTTACACTTCCCTATTATGGAGAAGTGCATTCCCACCGAAAACTCAATATGCAAAATTTGTTGCCATCACATAACCTACCTATTGTATACACAATACGGTCGGTAAAAATTTGTTGAAATAAAATATATAAAGGTGTAGTGAAATGCCATGCAAGTTAAGCACCGTGTACATTTTTTTAAAGTTATTCAATTCCCAATGTATGTTTTATTTTCATATATAAAATATTTGAAAATATAATTTTATACTATTTAAAAAATGTACTATTCAAACTTCTATGCATTTTATTTATTCATCTACACTTACATATATACATAGTATATTTACATATTTTAAATTTAATAAACAAAAATAAACGTACTGAATTTTAAAAGTATTTAATTATAAAATACACTTTTTGTGAGAACTGTGTGATAGATCAACATTAATGGCACTAGAAGGAATACTCCGCCTGTATAAAATGGTATTTTAGAGCAGCAGAAAAAAAATAAGGGAAAGAAAAATAAATTTCTAAATTTATATAGGAAAATCCTTTCGGTTTTTCATTTTAAATTCTGTTATGTAAGTCAAATAGCTTTAGAATTCTCTCTTATTAAGAAAATTAAATGACGGAAATATTCAATTGAAATGTGTGTTTTTTATTCAGACGTGACAAGCAAATAGCTTTTTCTTGTATTATTTAAAAAAAAAAAACAAATATATATATGTATATGTATTTCCTGAATAATACTTAATTAGTTAGAAAATCCTTTCCCATACACGAATCTACACTCTTCAATTGTTAATTTAAATGAATATTTTAAGGAAATGAGTCTTTGTTTTTATACGTAAATGCGTTTTTCTTGTAAATTTTTCGAATATTTTACAAATAATTTATAAGAAACATAAAGAATTTTTTCTTTAATATGAATTAAGAGCCTGAAATACTTTTATGGTGCAAGTTATTTTATATTAAAACTCAACTGTTTATAGTGCTTTACAACTATTAATATAATTATGTTATATGTAAATAAATAATTAAGAGTTACCCTAGTACTATCTTCTTCTTTTCTAGTGTGATCTGCAATATAGTTAACTCCATCCATTGCTTTATGTAATTCAGGACAAACATGCCATCTATGCCTTACATGACAAGATTTTTGTGCTACTTGTTGTTGATATTGTTGTTGTATCTGTTGTTGCTGCTGCTGTTGCTGCTGTTGTTGTTGACTTGTTGTCGATGATTCAGGTACAACACTAGCTGCAGTCATTGTTGTTGTTGTGCTAGTCGCTGGTTTTATCACATTAGTACTTGAACTAATATTATTGATATTACCTAATAAATCGCTAGTTGTCGTCGATTGATGCTGTTGATGAGGATGTAATGGTACTGGTGAAAATGTTGATGATGTTGTTGACAATTGCCTTGTTAAATGATGATGTGAATGATGTGTATGTTGATTACTACTATTTATGCTATTTTGATGTTGTAATAATAAAGTTGATGTAATTGTTTGTGATGATGTTGATGCCGTTTGTCTAATATTTGTTCTTGTTGGTGTTAATGGATGATCTAATAAACTACCACCAGTTTGTTGATATTGATTATGTTGACCAAAATGTTCTTCTAATAATGATGATGTTGTTGATGTTTGTTGATTTTGTTGTTGTACTGTTTGTGTTTGCATCGATGTTGGAAATGGTGGAGGTGGCAGTATATCATCCATTAAATTGATATTTTGTACTCTTGGTAAATTTGGTGAGGTACTTCTCGATGTTGCTTTTGGACTTTGATGTAATCTTTATAAAATAAGTAAAAAATAATATATGTAAAATGTTTTTTCTTTTTGAATAATTATATTTTATATATTGATTTACTTTGACAAGGCAACTGGTGGCGGCAGCGGTGGTATTTGATCCCTCAATTCCAGTCCATTGCACGTCCTTACCATCAAACGTCGTGATGATTGTCTGATAAAGTACAGTATATTAAAATTACATTTTTGAAAAATTAAATAGAAAATAAAGAAATTAATACTAACATCATCTCGCTTATTGGATATAGTGGTCGCCGCATCACCAATATTCGTGGCAAATGATTTATGAACACAGTACGTACCCACGGGGCCATTGTATGAGTTTGTGGTGAGCGAAAATGAACATTCAGTACAACTACAGTGACGCATATACTGTAATTAGAAGTAAAATAAATTTTAATTTAAAATTATTGTTAAAATAACAAGAGTTGCCACAAAAAGTTTAAGTTTCTTTTTGAAACTAAAATACAACAAATTAAATATGTCCTCATATTGTAGGAATATTCTAGGGTTACTTTATCTAGTGTATTTTATTTAGAATTTTATTCAAACGGACTTAAACACAGTTTAACTTTTGAATATTAAATAGCTTGAAATGTAAACTATGTTTAATGCATTCAGTTGAGTTTAATTATGAACAAATTACAAAATAATTTCTCAGACATATTATATGCTATTCATTTAATTATTTTAAATAATAATTCAAAATAATATATTTTAGTAAATTTTATGATTTTATGATTAAATTAAAATGTTTTTAATATAAGTTTTCAATTTTGCCGGGATTGGCAATTTTGTTGAATTAGTTTGTTTATACTAGAATTGAAACGGAAAATATAAATTTTTGAATAATTTTGAATAATAAAAATTAATTTGAATAACTGATAAATACACAATATTAACAGTCTTTACCACAACTATAGGCAACTTAACTTGCCTATAATTTTCATAAGTTGGAAATAATAGAAAATCTATATCATTTAAAATTAAAGGTTTGAAGCAAGATGACAGAAAATTAAAAAAAAAAACACTTTTTTTAAAAGTTTTGGATAATTTTTTGGATCATTTACTATGACTATGTATGCAAATGCTCTGTGCCTGCATTACGTTAGAATAAAGTCTAACAATGAAAATTTTTAATACTGGAAATATAGTTAGGGCGGAAGATGCTTTAAGGAATTCGATTTGACGTGAAATCAGTTAAAAAATTATTTATGATGAGAAATTAAATTTGAGTCAAATAACAAAATATTAACAACATTTACGCAAGAAAATTTTCTATCACAATACTGTAATTATGGAGTTGTTTGTAGCTTCAAATTGTTGTTAAATTAAATAAACTACCACGACAATGTAGGAATAATACTTGATATTATAACAGTTGTTGGAAAGTAAATACTTTTCGTGTACTAGAAAATATTATTAGACAAAACTTAATGTAGTGAAACCAAATAATATTAGAACAAAAAACAATTTAAAATTATTTCTTAATTCTAAATAAATAGTTCTTTATTAATCATAAAGTTAATTAGTAATTTTTAGAGAGTACTTAAACAGCATACGTGTTGCATTATTAATTGCATAAAAGTGTTCACTTAATTTTAACCAATGCATAACAATATATAATTTAAGATATTTTACATGTACATACATTAATGTTCCTTATTCATAATATGTTTTATATAATATATTATAAATGATTTATTCATTAAATTATATAAGAAAATATTGAAAACTATTATTTAATTTATTCGTTTTGTAAACTCCACAATATTTATAGTATATTATATACATATGACTTAAAATATATAAGGCAATTATGCAATAGCAATAAATTCTGAGTTTTGAAACAATTACAATAACATAATAATTGTCATGTTTCAACTATTGTAAAACAATTATAAATTTTTCACGTTACATAAAATACAATTTGAAATACGCTATGAGTTGATTTCAGATAAGAATTTATAATATTTGTATTTAAAATGTACCCATATGTAATTTGTATAACATGCAAGAATATTTATCATAATTATAGTAATTAAAGAGTCATAATTATTACGATCTCAATTTTGGTACAATTTTATTCATTTATTCTATACATAGTTATTACTCATAAGTGTGTGTAATTACAAAATACCATAATTTATTTTAATGTTAAGTAAACTTTTTATTATATATTAATAATCCGAAATGTAATCGTTTACATTTTAACAATTTCAAAATGGAAGGTTACAATGAAACTGTGTGAAATTCTCCTTTATTTGCTTTTATTGTTGAAAATGTATAATCGTGTGCAGTAAATAAATATATATATAGTAGTGTATATCTAAAAGGTGTATTTATCGTGTACAATATTTTGTATTTAATATTGGAAAGATTTTCAAGAGAATATTTTAATTACACTTATTGAAACGAATGAAATTCGGTAAAATGTCGTTAGTATTTTGCTTATTATGTTATTGAATTTTTATTGTTAAAGGGCTATTGCAAAAAAAAAAAAGTTATGTTAGCTAATTAGCTATTACTAAAATAAATTAGATGTAGAAAATATGATATTAAAAATATGAAATTTTATTTTTGAAAGGAAACATAAATTTATTGAAAAATTGCATATATTTTGGCGAACTTTATTGGATTTCTAAGGATTTGAAATATTTGCAGATAATATAATATATAGGCAATTATGTGAATTGGAAGTAGCTTATGTTTTATTACTGCTTTATAGCTTATATTTTAATACTGCATTTTTATCATACAAAATTTCTGTACGAAAGTTATGCAGAACTTTCGTATTAACTTATATTGACTCAAAAACGAAGTATCTTCACCCACACTAAAACTTTAGTGAGAAAAAAGGAATTTTAAAATACATCAATTTTTATAATGATTATAAATTCTCGATAATTAGAGTGACGGCCTCAATCATTCGTTTGCTGTTTTAGGATTTTATAACTTTTATTAATAAAAATAACTTTTTTTAGGATTTTAGTTATCTTGTAAAGAAAAAGCAAGTAAAGAGGAAAAGGTTTAATTGGAAGTAAAAGTAATTCATAAATAAAAATTAATTTTACTCGCTATACCGATTATTGCCTTTATTTAAGCATACAATTTTTATTTGAAATCGAAACGTCACGATTGCTGCAGGCAAGTAAATTTTTTTGAAAAAGAAATTTCCACATTAAAACGCACAAAAAAAGAAATTATTTCCATCTTTTAAAACAATTGATATTTGTAGCTCAATTTAATATTTAACATTGTGCGGGTATACAGAAATTCAGGCTTTTTGTTTTTGTGTGCATCGACTGATTATTTCATTAGTTTTATATCTCGCATAATGTTTCATATGCTTGTTAAGTGGTTTTGATGTATTTTTAAATTGAGGATTCAACAGTTTTGGAATTTGAAATGCGAAAAAATTTGATTTGATTTGAATCAGAAAAAATTGATATTCAAAGGGCTGAATTGATGTCACATAGTAAAAATTTTCATTTTTGATACTTGTTAATCAAATGAACTACAAACGTATTTAATTTTAATTATATTTTGCAAAGTTGTATAGCTTGGTAATAAACGTACATTGTTAAACATGTATACAAGCTTAAAACGTATAATATGGAAAAATTAACAGATTTTATCATTTATTATTATGGGTATACGAGAAAGATGGGGTTAATTTGTGGAAAACAGTATATCTACAAGAAATTAAGAAAAAAAATAAAAACAAAAAAATGACGAATTTGATGATGACAAACAATTTGATTGAAATAATTTGATTGATTTATAATTAATATGATTGTATTACATAGTTGCGCTTCGGTGTACATCTGTGTTGGCTTTACAGGTTAAACTTTTCAGCATTTAACAATTTAATTGAAAAATTCAATTAAAAAAATTTTTAATAATTTTATTTTTTAGGGATGAAAAATTTTAATGAAGAATACTGAATTTTACAATAAAATGCTACAAATTTATTTAATCGTTTGCCGGATTAAATTATGTGGCAATAACGTTAAGTATTTACAAATTGATTAAAATAACCATTTGGTGTTTTAAATATTAAATATGAAATCTATACTGATTGCTTGAGAGCAATGAGTATTCTAAGATTTTATATTTAGAAACAATTCCCACCGGCAATGCTCCGTATTAGTAATTTTTATACCCGCTTGTTATATATATGCGGGTATAAAATTTTTTCATTATAACATCAATAATTATGTCTGCCGTTAAAGCGCTTAATTTACAATGGAAAAAGCTTAATACTTGAAATTTGCACAATTGCTTATTTTTAATGCAGGTATATCAATAAATCACCAAATCTGTGATGGTCATCTATCATATTGTTGAAAAGGTCTCCGAAACCTCTACAACTTTGTTCAACATACTTTTTGAATATCACCGAAGTTCTCAGGCTTTAAGAAAAAGCTTTAAAAAAACTGGGCTTGCATCTAAAGCTAAATTATTCTCTAAAGTTAAAATACGCAGCAGGCTTAAAAGAGGCAGGTATTAAATTTTGGCAAAGCTTTTTGGCAAAATTTTTTTACTTGCTTTTTTAGATTTTAATTAGCAAAATTTTAATAAAGTTTTTTACATTTCGAATAAGATTTACTTTTAATTGTTGCACATTAAATTTAGGTACGGTTAGGCAAAAATTTTCAATACAATTGCAAATTTACACAATTACTTATTATTTTCATAAAAGAATAAGCTAAAAATATCTTTTCGATGTCATTGAATAAATAAATTTTCGACAAAGCACTGTTTACTCGTATTACAGTGTTTACAATTTTAAAATTTAATGTATATTTCTTAATATTATACGCTAAAAATTTATTGAAGACCCGGCAAAATTCCAACACTTTGAAAATGTTTTATGCAACAGAAAAATTGAAAAATGCTACAAATATTATTAAAGAAATAATTCAGATGAATTAAAAAAAATATTAAAAATTGCATACTTACAGGGACGACCTGATAAAAATTTTTATTATTTTTTTAGTTTTAATTAAGAATAACCAAAAAAAAACAATTTTTTTTAAATTTCGCATACTTAATATTTTATTTTACGTTGTTATTAAATTAATTGCACATACGAGCACATTAATTTAAATTTTTTAAATTTTTTTTAGCAATGTAAAGAAGGGAAAGTTTTCAATTATATTTATATAAAAGAAATTTTACTCGATTTATATTATAATTGTTTAGTTGATATTCATATTTCGTTTGAAGTGAAATATGTTTGTTATAATAATGTTACAATATACGTAAAACGCTCAGGTGATATTACAAATTATATCTATATTACAAATTTTAATATAATTTTTATTTGAAAAATTAGTTTGAAATTTTCTAGTTAGATAATACGTCCT